GATTCATAGATCGTAGAGCACCTAATAGTGAGTCCCAATTGGCTCCTCCTTTACTGTCAACATTATCAGCTGGGAGAGACACTCTGTAATACAATGATCCACGTTTCCAAGGTGCTGCATTTCAAAGGCATCCAGTGTATCTTTCAGTAGTCCTAGTCTCAGTCCCAGCTCTTGCCACTTTGTTCTCTGAAAGCCACATTTCTTCAATAGATCAATAACATCAATTAAATGACCAATATCTAGGTCTATAAAATGGTGCATTATATATAATGCTATGCATGCTATGTCAAAATGCACATACCTGATGAACAAAATTGAGCTGCCATATTTTTAGACTTAGATTAGTTAAAGTTATTCTTGTTAATGGAAGCATAGGCCAAAGCTAAGCCCGAGGCTAAGCCGGCCTAGCCAACTAGGCCTCGACAAAACTAGTCTTTGCCGAATGAAAAATTGAAAATAGACCCATTGCAGACACGCCCATTTTGTGTAAATAAACATAGCAACCGTTGCTACCCGCCATCTTGGAGGACATGTGGCATGAGTTGCCATACTTGTCAGTTGTCACTACTAAAATAGCGATGCTTTTTGCTTGCAAATCTTCTTCTTACCTATTTCTTGCAACTCACTGATGGTTTAGAGCTTAAAGCTAACCTACTTGGTCAATTTGAAGTTCATATTAGGCCGGGGCGAGCCTCGACTGCCGGCCAGACAGATAGCTCAGTAATATCGAATTCCATGGTGAGTAGAGTTATGGTGAGTCTTAATTTCAGTCTCATACTGCCAAATAGCATATTTACCTTCCTTTAGGAACTACTCTACATAAGGAACAGGCTGACTACTGGCTGCCTGATGATCAGTAGCAGGCTGAAACTCGGCCTGTATTGAGGTCCCACTGACTATTTTGGTCAGTGAGCTGTTACTTTAAGACAGTAGCATAAATAATGATTATATACATTCAAATTTGTTAATAAATTGACTTTTATTTCTGTAAAAATGAGTAAAACTGCCTCTCTCAACTCTCTAGTTCTACTTTCACCGCCACATTCTTGATAACTATTCTATTATTAGGATAATAGATTTTGGCAAAGTGCAACAATGCAATTACTGCACTGATCCATAAAATAAATTTTAGGTGTGGTCAGCACTTAGTGCAGATAAACATGGCACGTGGGTAGGAGAAAGAAGAAAAGCTGAAATTTATTTTAGCATCTGCAGCTCTATTCAAAGAAAGAGTAAGCACAAAAAATTTGCCTAGATATTTAAAAGAGACTGAAATACCGTAGGTCGGGATATATTCGCGGCTGCTTATTTTCGCGATAATAAAAACTAATAAAAAGGTTCAATTAAATACCATGGAAACCAATCGATTGTTGCTATGACAATAAGACCACGTGTTTATACAATTACAGTGTTCAGCAGCTATTTATCTATTCTTTAGCAGCTTTAGTGGGAGCCATCCAGTTCTCCATCCGCTATCTTCTTGTATGGACCACTACCTTCGAGCTCTTCGCTGCAAATCCTTGCCGCTCCGCTTGCTGGTGATAATTAACCACGCCCAGGTCAATAAATGGGTGGGAGTCCCAAGAATGGGCCAAGATACGGCGAGGCAGAGTGAAGAGAGTAGCTCCGGTTGAAACAGCTCCAAAGAGACCAAGGATTAGTAACAGCAAGAAGAACAACAGCCCAAGAACACTGCAACAGAGTCTTTTGCTATTAATATCGCGGATTTTTCAATTAAAATTGCATTTGGTAACCGTGGTAATTGCTGAGTGCAGGAAAAAATCGCGAAAATAAGCAGCCGCGAATATATCCCGACCTACGGTAGTTTGGTTGCTCCTGCTTTCCCCAGTGCTGCCTGAAAATTTTTCGAAGAGGCTAAATCACAAACTTTGAGCAACTGTAACTTGCAAAAAAAGAGATTAGAAAATTCCCACATATTTTTTAATCTACGTACTTTTCTCTACCTATCAATGCTAATCTTGATCAAATAGAGTGAAACACGAAGATTTGGCTAGGAAAAGTGGTCTATTCTTGAAAATATTCAGCTTTTGCTACCACGGATTGCTATGAAAATACAAAGGAGCTAAATAAATTATCTTTTTCTCAAATCTTACAAAGAATTATAACTCAGGAGAGCTCAGTAAAAAAGATATTGAATAGGAATTAACAGGAATTTTCATGACAGAATGACAACCCAACTGTATAGTACCCGCCTACACAAGCGTGGCGAGTCCAATTAATGTACAAGCAATACTGATACTCTAAACACAGCTGTACTCTATTGTCATTATACAGTATTAAGTATATCTGTATATACATGTATACCTGTTTTGCTTTGAAGAGATGATCGTAAATGATCTATTTCCATTTGTATTGCTTTTGTCATCTTTTTACTCTCTTCCTTCTCAGACTCTAAATAATAAAAATGAACCAATTAAATTATTAGGAGCATGCAACAATTCAGCTACATGATGTATTTATTCAAAATTCATGCACATGACAATATTCATAGATATCATGTCTCAAAACATGAATGTCATTATACCTGATGATTGTATTGATGACTTATTGCTTTCATCAACTTCTCTACCTTCATATGAGATACCTTTAAATTATCAATAATTATAATTAATAATAATTAGTATATACCTAATGTGTCTATTGTATCCTTCAATTTAGCATTCTCCTCAAGTAAATCATCTCTTTCACTCTCTACCATCTCCAGTTTCTTCATTAGACTCTTCACCTCCTATCAAATATTAAAGTATACTATTAAATTATATACACATACATTGACTAACCTCATCAATTGCATGTTCATCATACACAGTATAGTAACCAATAGTTAAACTAATCAATCCCATCTCCTTTAGCATATCAACATTATCTCTAGCTGTCACTAGTAAACTCTCCATCAGATAATGAGGAGCATAACAAGTAACAATGATGGAGTTCCCTTCCTTGATCACTACCACTTCCACTTGATTATCCTTGAACGTTTTCCATAGGAGGGCTCTGATACTGGAGAGAGAATGCTCACTTGGATTCCATTTCAGAACAAACTTGATCGTCTCACAAGTGAGGAGAGAACAGGATAATCTCTTAAGCTGACGATCACAAAACATTGTTAACTTGTTCTCACAGAATTCATCCAAGTGTGTCTG